CTTTTCTTTACTTTGCATAGTGAATTGCAGCTCGAGTTATCGTGGTAAATTATAACTAGAGTCTATTAGAAGCCAAAACCAGGCTAAACCAACATGTATTACCTATTGTAACCAATACATCTCGTTTTGTAGAAATACAGAATACTTTTCTTTACTTTGCATAGTGAATTGCAGCTCGAGTCATCGTGGTAAACTATAACGAGAGTCTTTTAGAAGCCAAAACCAAGCTAAACAAACATGTTTTACCTATTGCAGCCAAAACATCTCTTTTCGTATGAAAATAGAATAGCTTTTTTAAATTTTGCTTTGAATTCCAACATACTATAACCATGTACTATTTAGTAAGTCGAGCTCTTTGAGTTACTCTGATCTTTTGTCCTTCTTTAGTTTTTCGACAGGGAATAGTAATTTTACCAAGATAGAGTGGAGCTGGGCTCCAGAGAAAGAGAGCGCAAACGTCAACCAAGACCCCGAACCCGGCGACGTTATCTACGAAGAACTCACAACTATCGATACAAATATGAACTGTTCCGAACAAATTGACCAAATTCTCCAAAGTATTCCATCTATTGATTTAAAAGAGAGCTATGATACTGTTTATTCCAATGGAAAAATATTTCTAACGGTTGTCAAGGTTACGAAGATCCCGGATGAATACAAAAGTAGTGGTGATGACCTGAAGAAAAGAGTAGTTGTGGATCATAGTATAGAAAAAAGGTGAGCAGATAAGAAAAATAGCTAATGATATACATTCCATGATCGACTATACACTTGTCGTAAGCGACCATCTATAGCACGAGTCCATTTAAAAGTCCACCACGAGCCCATTAATTTGTCTCCCCGATTAGTAGGGCACTTGTGCCCGGCTAGAAGAAATAGAGACATTAATAAAGTTATTATTATATTATTATTATTATTATTATTATTATTATCCATCTATAGCACGAGTCCATCTATCGTAATCATGATTATCTTTTGCGAGCAACCATTTATAGCACGAGTCCATCTATAGCACGAGTCCATCTATCGTAATCACGATCATCTTTTGTGACGGGCCTTTTGTGACACACTTTCCACGTTGCCAACATGTTGCGCGCGACAGTTGTAAGAAAAACTCTTGCCATCTAAATCGGTCTTAAGCGCAACCACCATCTTTAGATAATGACCACTTGTCGAAAGCGATCATCTTTATCTTGTTGCAACAGTTTGTCATGTTTTTGGTTCATTTTTCAAGAAAAAAATTTTCAAGAGTTCAAGCAAGTCAAATCTTTGGCGCAGATAACAGAGCAAGGGTGAGTCCAGTAAGTGCACAGTTAAGTCCCCAATCATCAACGGCCCTCATCTCTTGTGGTCGCTTTTGTTCCTGGAGTTGCACAGGAACCCTCGTAGGTCCACGCCACGTCCTCACAGCAGCGCACTGCATCAATAAGGAACCTGTCAAAAGCATTAGGGTCGGGTTTCTCCAAAGAAGTAATGATATGAACTGGTACACCGTGGACAGCTATAATATCCCTCATGTATGGAGACCAAAACGATCGACTGAGCGGAAGTCAAATGTTGATTATGACTATGCACTCATAAAGCTTTCAAGATCTCCTGGAAAAAGAAGCATCGAAATGCGTTCCGTTCCTCTTAACCGAAGAACAAGTCTCTCATTTTCAGGTAAGAAAGTTTAATCCAAAATCGTTAACACTGTCATTTAGAGCGGTTATCGTACTAGTGCGGTACGACATGCTGTAACATTGAAATGGCATCCCATAAGAATGGTTATCGTATGAGTGGGACCCACACAGTACTGACTTACATCACGTGCACGGTACGACATGCCGTAACATTGAAATGGCTTCCCATAACAATGGTTATCCTAAGAGCATGGGAAACACACTGTATTGACTTACATCACGTACACAGTACGACATGTCGTAACATTGAAATGGCTTCCCATAACAATGGTTATCCTAAGAGTGGGAAACACAATGTACTGACTTACATCACGTACACGGTACGACATGCCGTAACATTGATATGGCTTCCCATAACAATGGTTATCGTATGAGTGGAAAACGCACTGTACTGACTTACGCCACGTACATGGTACGACATGCCGTAACATTGATATGGCTTCCCATAACAATGGTTATCGTATGAGTGGAAAACGCACTGTACTGACATACAGCATGTACACGGTACGACGTGGTAACATTGAAATGGCTTCCCATAAGAATGGTTATCGTATGGGTGGGAAACATACTTTAGTACTGACTTACATCACGTACACGGTACGACATGTCGTAACATTGATATGGCTTCCTATAAGAATGGTTATCGTATGAGTGGGAAGCATACGGTACTGACTTACACCACGTACACGGTTACGACATGCCGTGACATTGCGCGACAAAGGTGCTCACAATCCTCGCACTCAAAGAACGAATCAGCAGGATTTAAAAAATTAAAAGATTTWAAAAATTTTAAATATTGAAGAAAAAATTTAAAAAATTAAAGAAAAAATACTTATCTCTTTCTAGCTTTTAATGCAAGAAACAAGATGTACAAGTCCACTTGTAAACCTCTTTTCCCAGTAAACTCTCGCATCATTACTCAGTGTGACGCAGTTCAAGGAAACTCAGGCGCAGGAATACTCGTCCATCATGCAAGGCATGGTTACCAAGTTGTTGGAGTTCTTTCTGCAGCTCAAAAACTATCAGTTTATAGAGGCCGCTCTCGTTATTACATGGTAGCGTCGTATTTGAATAGGAAAAAAATATCTCAAATCAATCGATGGATGACGAGATCTTGATGTACGATCTTGACTACAGCTACTTCAAAACTGGCAAGAAATGCTCGTTGCATGTTGCATAACAAGCTCGAACTGCACTAACGGCAGCGAAAAGTCGCAACGATATGAAATTTTTCTGAACGTTGTCTGCACCTTTTCCTGCAAAAATCTTCTCTGCTGAAATTACTTACATCTGAATATTTAACCAATTGACATCAGATTTTTATGTGTCTGTCCTCTTATTGACAATAAATTGGATCCGCATACTACTTTGACAATGTGATGGCGAAATTTATTGTCAATAAGAGGACAGACACATAAAAATCTGATGTCAATTGGTTTTTTACAATAACAAAAACGATAAAAACTTCTCATTTTTAGCGATCAAAACAACCAACGGAAAGAGCGCGCGCTCGTTGACGTCAGCTTTATCTGTCTGTCCTCTTATTGATGATAAAAAATAATCAATCAGCGCGCGAGAAATTAGTAAGTTATTGTAAAAAATACATTTCAAGCTTAGTAAGCAGCATGTAACGAACCCTTCACCAACCGTTTTTGAAATAGCTGTGTTTGTCAGGGAAAAAAACGCGTCTAATTTACAGTATTAGAAATATTGGTATATTAATAAAGAGTTCTGATTTCACATTGCGTTTATTAGGTGTTCATTTACRGCGCTTCTCAATCACACGCGTGAAATCGTATAATTTGCCATCGTGACGAAGTAGGTTTAGGTGGACGTCAATCAATGCGTTTCCATGACATTCCATAGGCACGTGCCATTAAAAGCTTTGTGTTTTCCGACAATGCTGGAAAACACTTTGATTGGCGTCCACCAAAACCCTATTATGTCTCGATATTTTTTTTCAAGATTTCGCGCGTGTGAATGAGAAGCGCTTTCAAGGCTTATGAACGAATACTTTTTTAATAGTTTCCCAACAAGTGTCAATACTGGTTTCCAATACACCGATCCCGCATTCATTGTTCTACCTCCCTAGTTACTGTTGCTACGTCAGACAAGCTAGAATGTGTTGCTGATATACAGCATGGAACAGACACCGATTGCTGAAAATGTGTGCCTTAGAATCAATGCATTCTAAAGGTACATCAAAAAAAAAAAAAAAAAAAAAAAAA